AATATGATATGGTCACTCTGGAGAAGAGTTTGGCAGTTTCTTAAAATACTAAACATACAATTACACCCATACCTCATTTTATTGTGCTTCACTTTATTGCATTTTTTTACAAATTGAAGGTGCGTGGCAACCCTGCATCGAGCAAGTCTGCAGTGCCATTTTGCCAATAGCATTTGTTCACTTCATGTCTCTGTATCACATTTTGGTAAATTACGGTGATCTGTGGTCAGTGATCTTTGATGTGACTATTGCAAAAAGATTATAACTCGCTGAAGGCTCAGATGATGGTTAGCATATTTTAGCAATAAAGTGTTTTTAAATTAAGGTATGTACATTGTTTTTTAGGCATAATGCCATTGCGCACTTAATAGACTATAGTACAGTGTAAACATAACTTTTATATGTTCTGGGAAACCAAAAAGTTTGTGTGACTGGCTTTATTGTGATATTTTCATTGTGGTGGTCTGGAACCAAACCCGCAATATCTCTGAGGTCTGCCTGTACCATACGACCCAGCAATAGTACTACTGGACATTTTTCACAAAGAAATGAAGACTTATGTTCACACAAAAACCTGTACGTGAATGTGTATAATGTTCATAGCAGCTTTGTTCATAATAAACCGCCCCAAACTGGAAACGACCCAGATGTCCTTCAATGGGAGAAGGGTTAAACAAACTCTGCTCTATCTGTGGAATACTTCTCAGCAATAATGAGGAACAAAAGGGACTTCCCCGGTGGCTCAGTGGTTAAGAATCTGCCTGCCAATGTGGGGGGGATCCCGGGTCCAGGAAGATCCCACATGCCGCAGAGCAGCTAAGCCCATGTGCCACAACTACTGAGCCTGCGCTCTAGAGCCTGCAAGCCACAGCTATTGAAGCCCGCGCGCCTAGAGCCCGTGCTCCGCAACAAAAGAAGCCACCACAATGAGAAGCCCATGCACCGCAACAAAGAGTAGCCCCTGCTCACTGCAACTAGAGAAAGCAGCAACGAAGACCCAACGCAGCCAAAAGTAAATAAATAAATTTATTTAAAAAAAAAGAACAAAAGAAAAATAAAAGATAACAGCAACAAAAAATAATAAGGAACAAACATGTAACAACCTTGATGCATCTCCAGAGATTTACACTGAGAAAAACCAGTCCCCAAAGGTTGCACACTATATGACTTCATTTGTCATTCTTGAAATGACAAAATTATAGAAGCTGAGAACAGATGAGCAGTTGCCAGAGGCTTAGGAGGGGATGGGGGCAGGAAGGAAGTAGGTGTGGCTATGGGTGTGGGTGTGAGAGGTCCTCCTGTTGATGGAAATGTTCTGTGTATTGTATCAAGATATCAATATCCAGAGTGTGATATTATATACTATAGTGTTTTTTTTAACCTCTTTATTGGAGTATAATTGCTTTACAATGGTGTGTTAGTTTCTGCTGTATAACAAAGTAAAGTATACATAAAGTATAGGTATACATATATCCCCATATCTCCTCCCTCTTGCGTCTCCCTATACTATGGTTTTGCAAGATGTTAACCACTGGGGGAGACTCTTAAAGGGTACATGTGATCTCTTTGTATTATTTCTTATACTTGCATGTGAACATACAATTATCTCAAAATCTAACATTTACTTAAAAAAAGGAAAGAAAAAAAAAAAGGCATCCCATACTATTATATACAGAATGGATAAACAACAGGGTCCTACTGTATAGCACAGGGAACTATATTCAATATCCTGTGATAAACTCTAATGGAAAAGAATATGAAAAAGTATGTGTATATATGTATAACTGAATCACTTTGCTGTACAGTAGAAATTAACACAATATATTTTTTTGAATTTTATTTTATTTTTTATACAGCAGGTTCTTATTAGTTATCCATTTTATACACATCAGTGTATACATTGTCAATCCTAATCTCCCAATTCATCACACCACCCCCCCTCCACTTTCCCCCCTTGGTGTCCATACATTTGTTCTCTACATCTGTGTCTCAATTTCTGCCCTGAAAACCTGTTCATCTGTACAATTTTTCTAGGTTCCACATATATGCGTTAATATATGATATTTGTTTTTCTCTTTCCGACTTACTTCACTCTATATGACAGTCTCTAGATCCATCCACGTCTCTACAAATGACCCAATTTCGTTCCTTTTTATGGCTGAGTAATATTCCACTGTATGTATGTACCACATCTTCTTTATCCATTCGTCTGCCAATGGGCATTTAGGTTGCTTCCATGTCCTGGCTATTGTAAATAGTGCTGCAATGAACATTGGGGTGCATGTGTCTTTTTGAATTATGGTTTCCTGTGGGTATATGCCCAGCAGGAAACTAGCACAATATTGTAAATCAACTATACTTCAATAAAATAAATTTTTTTAAAAAGGCATCCCGTCTGTAGCCAATCAATCATTTCTAGTTCCTATTTCTCAGAAAGAAGCACTCAAAGCAGTGAGAATCAAGACTGATCAATTGAGGGTGAATTTTAATATTCCCCAAGCTTTGTCCTCTTCTGTCACTCAAGCAGAGGTCTTGCTTACTGAGATTACTCTAGTAATCTGAGATTACTTCCAGTCACTCATTTAATTAATGGTATTATTATTTGTAAATGCTTCCACAGGGCTAATCCACTCAGCTTCCATGTTGCCCTGGCAACCTAAGGCTAAGGTCTCCATTTGCTACTAAGAGAAACTAGAAAAATGATTTGCTTAGGAGCTTCCAAATGCAGGTCCCACAGCTCTTTCTTCTTCATATAAGACCTGGCCTGTGTATCATGTGGGGTATGGAATCATTCTTCTTTTTCCTGATCATTAAATTCATCTTCATCTAGCATCGATCTTTTAAGGTTACTTCAGAAATCAGGTTTTGAGAGCAGGAAAAGACTCTCAAATGCAGCATCTTACCTGGACCTGAATCTCTCCATTTTGGGCCAGTTTGGACAGAACCAAGGTTTCCTTTCGGGCCCACGAAGGAAAGGAATTCAAGAACAATGGATGATGGGGGAGGAGGGGTTTGCAAAGAGTTATGCAATTTTCCAGCTGCTTCTGGGAGTAGCAGCTCTCCACTGACCACATTTGGGTCAGGTGTGGTGAGGTGGCATTGCTTCTGGCCTTAGATGCTTTCTGTGCAAGAATCACCTCCCCCACCTTAAGGATAAAACTGGAAGGCAAAGGCCTTGGGATCTTTCTCAGCTTATTCTATGGTTGCAGTATGGTGGTGTCATCCTGGGGGAATTGATGTCCTGGGAAGTTTTACTTCTAATTTTATCATTTATAGAACTGGGATATGGGAATCCACATGTTTTAAATACCTACTGTATGCCAGGCACTATGCTGGATACTTCTCCATGATTTAATTCATTGAATCTAAACTCCTGAATCTTCAAAACCACTCTCTGAAGTAAGCATTTAGACGAATCCCACTATATAGACGAGGCGAGCAGGGCACGGAGAGGGGAGGTGATTTGCCTGAGGTCACACAACTGGTAAGAAGTGGAGCCTAGATTTAAAGCCGAGTTTGTCAGAATCTACAGTCCATGTTCTTCTCTTCTGTCATGCTGCCAGAGAGGCATCTTTAGTGTAATGACTAACTGACGGCTTATGCCAAGCCAGGCACCCTGCTAAGTGTATTACTAACCAGGAGCTCATGGAATCCTTCCCAAGGTGCGTCTGCTATTATCCCTATTTTACTGATGAAGAAACTGAGGCTTAGAGAGGAGAAATAATTTGCTGTGATAGCTGTTTTGGTTCAGGTGGGCCCTGATTTACATAACACATATTTCTGTGTCTGATGCTTAACATGAAAAATTCCTCCGCTGTGAACTGCAAAAATGCCTTGCTTTGGGAGGTAAATACCCTACCCCATCAGCAGGTCTGCTTTGTTAATTCAGTTCATCAGTCCCAGTTTCCCCAAACCTTGGCATTTCAGAGCTTGGTATATGAGAAAGGAACTCGGGCTATAAAGAGGACAACTTCAGGCTACAGGTCAGGAGATTCAGGCCCACAGAGATGAAGGGAACTGCCTCAGGACACACAGTCTGACAGCAGCAGAGATGGACTGGAATCCCGGTGCTCTGACTTTCAGGCCCGGGCCGCCCAGTTATTAAGAGAGGGTCTTTGGCCAGGAAAAGGAAGGGAGGGACCCTGTATCCTTCATTTCCTCACCTGCGAAATTGGGTCAAGATAGGCCCTTGTGTGTAGTGGGGGGGGGGGGAATATGTGGGTATGGTCCAGCCTAGGGGCCCTAGCAAAGTGACAAGGTCTAGTGCAAGGAGGATCATGGCGTCGCGAATCCCCAGCAGTGGTGGTGGGAGGTTGTGAGGGCAGCAGAAGCGGAACTTCGGGAGCCAGAGGCGGGGATTCGAGAATTCTGGGCGGGGCTTGGAGAATTAACGCTGTTAGATGGGCAGTGGGCGGGACTTACGATGCTGCGAATAGGGTTACCAGCCCGTGGGCGGGGCTTCTAGAAATTGGGGCGGGGTTTGTGACGCAGAAGGGCCAGTTCTGAAGGAATGAGAGGGGAGCTGGGCTTAGGGAGCCAGGAGGCTGGCAAGGGGTTTGGATGGGGCAATGGGCGGGGTTCAGAGGGGCTGATGTTACGGTTTTAAGGGACTCTGGGGGAATTTTTGAGGAGCCGGGGGATGTGGCCCTGCCGAGCCGAACAGGTCAATGGGCGGGACTCTAAGGTAACCGCTCCTGGTTCTTTGGGGTCAGTGGGCCTGGCCCTCCGGCCACTCAGAGGATTAGCGGGCGGTGCTTGCACTTGGGCACCGCCTTCCTCCGCGGCACTCCTGCATCCCTCGGCGCGACCAGAGAGGGCGCTAGAAAGAGTGAGGCGTGGAACGCCGGGTGGGAAGCGGGCTTCCCCTCCCGGAAGTGGGCGTGGTGCTCCGCAACCTGGCAGCCCTGGTTGGGCGCGGTGCGGCGCGGGGGCGGGGCCTGCGTGCAGCGATGGGGGTGGGGGCTGCTGTCCGCGCCCCTCCCCCGCGCGGCGCTCAGTGCCAGGCGGGAGGCGGTAGCGGTTGGAGGTTTTTACGGGCTTTGCAGCGGGGACTTCGGCAGCGGCGCCTCAGGCACCTCAGCCCTGGTGAGCTGCGCGCGCCCGGCGGGGCGGCTTGGGAGCGAGCCGGACGGGCGGACGGACCTGTCCTTTAAGCGTGTGCCGGCGCCGGCTGACAGGAGCGGGCGGGGCGTGGGACAGGGCCCGGTGGAGCGGACGGGGCTGGGTGGGCGCGCGCGGCGCGGGTCCTTGGGCCGGGGGTCCGCCCTGGCCGGTGTACATGGGGTAGGGGTAGGGGCTGCCGCGGGAGACTTGGAATCCGGTGGGGGAGGGAGTTGGGGACCGAACCGCTCGGCCTGGGGAGAGTGAACCCAGGTTCCTGTGGGGAGGAGGCTGCCCTGGGGAGACTTTTAGGGATCCGGAACCCTCCTGGCCGGGCGAGGAGCTGAAGGGGGACGAGGCTGCCCCGGGAAGGATTTTAGGGGTCAGGGCTCCGCCAGGTTGGGTGGGGTCTTGGGTGGGGAGGGGCTGCTAGAGGCTAGGGGGG